TATGGCGATGCTGCTACCGTGGACGTCTTCAGCCCATCGATACCGGCCGTGTGGCGCCTGAAAGAGTCCCTGCCGATTGGCGCCAAGTGCTGCAAGGCAGTGCTGTTGAACGCCGATACAGTTCTCGTTTCACATCGTGATGGCCTGAATATCGTACGGCGCGACAACCGCTGCAAGGGCCTGCGTGATGAGTGGCGCGAGGTGGCCCAAATGCCGACACAGCGCCGGGTTGGAGGCCTTGCTGTTGTGCATGGTCTGGTTTACGTCGCCGGGGGCTATCGTGACGAGGAAAACGAGTTACTGACGTCCCTGGAAGTCTACGGTGCAAAAAGCAATTCCTGGAGTGCAGTCACCCCGATACCGGTTGGTCTGGAAGGGTTTGCGATGGTGGCATGTGCAGGTCGGTTGTTTCTGTTTGGCGGCGATGAGGACAATGGCAGATATGCTTTCTCGTACGACCCGGAAGCAGATACGTGGACCAGACTAGCCGATATGCCGACCGCTCGCTTCGGCTGCGCTGCCTGTGATGACACCTAACGGACTGATCTTCGTTGTCGGTACAGGACGTATTAAGGACTGTAGTTACCGTGTGTTATGAGCATAATGGTCAAATTAACTAATTCTTTTGGTGAATGTGTAGGTGGAGAATGTTTAGGTGAAGAATGGGAAGAACCCAGCGCAGAAGGCTGTAAGCGCGTGGATGCGTATGATCCCATCACCAATCAGTGGGTGAGAAAAGGTACGTTAGTGTAACCGTGTGGATTTGTTTTAACTTTGTCAGAACTGCCATGTAGATGTAGGGTTTGGTGTACGGCGGCAGATTCTCACGGAAAGATTGCTTTCATTTATGTTTTTGGATGACAGGTGATCTGGTGAAAAATCACTCGTATCCCGGATGCGTTTGTGTGGATGGCAAGGTGTACGTTCTTGGTGAGGACGGAGCGGCGGGAGAGGAATGGGAGCATCGAAGTTTATAATGAAGATAGCGACAGCTGGGACGTCCATGAATGTCGACTGCCAAGTTTTAAGTATATGTTTGGTTGGGTCGTTATGAAGTTGAAATGCGAATGAATGGTAAAATGTCAAGGCCACAGTTGTCATACTGAGTTAACTGCTACTAATCATGTTATGATTACGTCTGTGGGATATTCCTTTGCGAATTACGATGTGACTGGAACAGTAAAAGATATGCGGACGATCTGTTTTAGTCAGTGATTTTGTAGCTCTAATAAACGTATGTAGTAAACCGACAGTGCTTTCTGTGGAACACAAAAAAGGTAGCAGTGATAAGCAAGCACGAGGCTCGAATGCATACAGCATAACGATCGACACACGTCCTTGAAATTAGTATCGCAAATGTAACATGTTGCGCCAGTATAGATTGGGTAATTAAAGCGATTAACGATCATTGTTGAAGTTCTCAGTTTGCGTCGTTTCAAAAGGAAATGCGGATATGCTGCTGCGAGCCTGCGACGGTCATCTCCGATGGAATGATGAAAATTTTGAATAGAATTAGCAAAGCTAATTCCGGTTAACGCAGCGGAGGCGATCGCAAGGCTGGACGACTTGGTTGACCAGTGTCCAGCCAAGAAAACCCATTAGGGTGTGTCTTGGGATGCATATCTCGATGCTGTATAAGCAATGCAGTTTTGGTTGTGGATGTTTCATGTGTAGGGTTTGTGCATTTCTGTTAGTGCATTTTCAGTTCTTGTTGTGTTGGAGTAAAGATTGTTCTCGTGTAACAAGTTGTTCTTCCCTCCCGCCCACCCTCTTTGGAGAGGAGATGGGGGGTTGTTTTTAGCAAGGACGACGGGGCCGGTTGCGCCGGTGTCCCGTGTTCCGGTGCTAGTGTCTTCACCCAGTGCCCAAATAAAATTGAAACGTTGCGCGCTGCTGTTGTTGTTACCGTAGACTGCGTTAACAGCCAGTTATAAGCCGGTATTACCATTGCCATCTGTACAAACGAACATGTGCAGAGCCAGACAGCTTGAGCGATAGCGAATAGCATGTACAGTCGTACAGTACTAGTAAGTACTTACTGTACTGTACTTACGTACTTGCATAGTTGTAAATCCCAAACTGAATGAAGTACTTAACAGAATTATCAAAACTTTGAGTTTTTCTTTTGGAGTTCAGTTGCAGTTCATACTTCACGTTATAAAATGTGATCCCGATCTGTGCACGGTGCACCAACAATTGCTCTAAGAACTACTTAAAAAAAAATTCCTGACTGGTGTCAGTACTGGCTGTCCCATTCATTTAGCTCCGTTCTCGGGCTATTCACGGCTTGTCAGTTGTAATTACATGTTTAGTGTTTCCAGTATACCGTGTATAGAAGTACTGTAAAGTTTTCCGTCCTTGTTCCCCACACAATGGCGCAATCTAGCAGTTCAACAGATCCTCTGCCTCATGATTGTCCGGCTGACACTGTAGAGTTTCTGCGCGGACTGCGTGATCTGCAGTCGCGAGGGATCCTCTGCGATGTTGAGCTGAAGGGGAGCGATTGCGAAGAATCGTCGAAGGGAATTGCCTGTCATCGGAATGTCGTGGCCGTGCACAGCGCCTACTTTTCTTCCGCCTTCACGCACGACTGGAAAGAATCAGCACAGCCAGTGATCCAGCTGCGTGACATCGACTGTCGCACGTTAAACGAGTGAGTAGTAGCAGCGCAACATGACCATATTATATCTGTACTAAACAGGTTCTGCGATCAGTCATGGCATTCCAGCCAACTGGCAGTGCGAGGCGTAATACTGTATTTAGAATCCGCAGGTTAACTGAATTTGGGCTTCTATATCTTCATGAAAGATGCTGGTTTTGTGTAGCATTAACCATCTCATTCTTTTTCCCAATTTAGATAGTAATAGATACTGTAAGAAAATCCTCATGTGATCAATCTCTGCAGGTTGGTCACGTACGCTTACACCATGGATCTGCACCTCAACCACGACAACGTGGAGTCCATCTTGATTGGGGCGCAGTTCCTACAGATGACTCTCGTGGCCAGCATTTGTTGGGAGTTCGTGGAGAAGCGCCTGTGCCTGTCCAACTGTCTGCCCGTCCACGCTCTGGCTTCTCAACACCACAATCCCGTTCTGGCCGGCGCAGCACTGGCTTTAATTATTCCAAACTTCCTCTGTGTGGCGCAGACCCATGAGTTTCTGCAGATGGACGCGCAACAGGTGCAGTCTGACTGACGGCATTATAAAGTTTACCCTAGGCATTACATGAGCTTTGTATGAGCCCAGGGCCAGAATCACTTGGATTGCGGTGTATTCAGCGGCAGTATATGGCACCTGAATTATCCAGTTAGCATGTGTTCAGGGAATTTATTTTGCAGCTGATTGTGCTGATCGCATTGGATGAAGTGGAGGTGTTCAGTGAAGATCAAGTGTTGGAGGCAGTGCTGCTCTGGCTAAATTACGACCGTCCCGGACGACTAGCGCACGTGCCCGCTGTTCTGCAGAACGTCCGCACTTCCTTTCTGAGCGCCGAGTCTCGGAAGGTGTACTCGGCGACACTTATCAGTGCAGGAGCGCCGTGCGAGGCCGCAATGGTGGACCTAGAAGTCCCCGCCGCCAAAAAGCAGAAAACTGCACCACGCCATTCATGCGGTAAGAACCACATAGATTCGTTAATCGGTCTTCAAGATCAGTTTCTTCCAAAACAGCGAAGTCTTTATTGGAGCGACATATAGCAGGTTATGTTTATCCGTTTACGTTCCTCTCATCAGGAGAGGGTCACCAATAGATCCTCTTTTTGTTGCTGCAAGAGCCCCTGTAAAAACTAAGTCTTCGCATTCACCTTGTAATATTTTTTGCCTGATTACTGCTGCCTTGAGTGCCTTCTAATAAAACCACTGTCAGACTGTAAATAATATTGAACGGTTTTTGTTCCTATGTTTCGAATCGCATAGTCGCGTTCCTCAATTGACTGGCGACCACCAGATCATGTAATGTAAGGCGAAGCCGAACATGACTCTTGTGTCACTAATAGTAGTGACGCGGGATCTATTTATTTCACGTTTTTGTTAAATCGCGGATTTCAGGGTGAGCTTCAGTATTATTAAATTATTTTTAATGTCAGGGGCGCATGAAGTGATCGTCTGCGTGGGAGGACACGATTCGGATGGAAGTGCCGTGGAGATTTTCAGTCCATCGCTGCCGGCCGTATGGTGCCTGGAAGAGCTGCCCTTTCTCGATGATTGTTGCCGCGCAGTGCTGCTGGACGCCAGTACGATTTTCATTTCCCACGCTGAAGGACCCCATATCGTTAAGCGCGACAGCCACTACATGGGCCTTCGAAACGAGTGCCTCAAGGTGGCCCCAATGCTGACACCGCGCCGACTGGAGGGCCTTGTCGCGCTAAATGGGCGCGTTTACTCCGCCGGTGGCTACAGTACTAGAGGCCCACACCCTCCACCTCCACTGACATCCATGGAAGCGTACAATCCTGAAAGCAATTCCTGGAGTGCAGTCGCCCCGCTGCCCAATGCTCTGGTCCGTCCGGTGATGGTGGCTTGCGACGGTCGATTTTATGTGTTTGGCGGGATCATCGCTGGAGGCGGTAGGAGTAAGTGTGCTTTCTCATACGACCCCGCTGCCGATACGTGGACCAGACTGTCCGACATGCCGACCGCGCGCAGCGACTGCGTTGGCTGTGTGGCGCCCAGCGGATTAATCTTTGTTATCGGTACGCTTTTCCCTAGGATAGCATAGCATGATAAAATGACCAGCCTTACTGCAGTGGTGAATTGTGTAGGTGGTAAAGCGGCTGAGGGTTACTCTAGGCGCGTGGATGCGTACGATTGTGCCGCCGATCAGTGGGTGAGGAAAGGTAGGTGATATTTTGTTTTCGGTCGTGGAACTACCTGCCGTTCGTTATGCGGTGGTGGATTTATCGGAGTTGAGATAGGTGGCGTAAAGAAACAGCGAATACTACGCATTTATGGGTTACGTTAATCGCTAAATGTATACTTATACTACGGCGCGCCACGGCCATTCTTTTTAGCTGCTTGACCGAAATATTGACAAAAATAATGTACATCATCATATTCGTTTAATTGTTAATATGAATTAAATTATTTGTATTTTATTTATGTCTTTGTAGAAGTAATATTGAAATTACGGAGCTTGCCATCGCGACCATTGTAACGTTGTTTGTATCGTTTTCGCGCCCACTTCGCTGATTGCGCTATGCGCACTAGAGATACCTGTACTTGGAACTGCTCCTATGTGCATCCCATTTCAGATCCAGTTTGTAGTAGTACGGCTTTGTGATTACAGCTGATCTGGTCCGATACCGCTCGTATCCCGGATGCGCTTGCTTGGATGGGAAAGTCTATGTTCTTAGAGGGGATGCACAGTGGGAAGGGGACGGTGACAGCCGCATCGAGGTGTACGACGAAGAGACCCACAGCTGGGCCCTGCACGCGTGTCAACTGCAAGTGGACAAGTTTGGCTTTAGCTGTGTGACCTGTGTCGTAATGAAGTTGAAACACGGCTGAATGGAGAAGCGGCAAGGGCATAATTGACGCGTTTAAGTTAACGCTTCTTAAGAATATGCTGGCGTTTTTGTTGTAAACTTATGTCGGTCAAGGGATTTTCGGAACTTTCGGCTGGCTTCCGCTCGGTTTAAAATAAAGCGCTTAACAAGAGCGAGGCTGGAAACTGAAAAGTAAAACGATCTTCGACTTGAAAGCCCGTTCGGAAAGAAGCGTGGTCACTCCGACCCACTGGTCATCCGTCATTCCACTAATATAAGATTTTGCATTAATAGCAAGTAAGCTGTCTGTATATTTCGCGGGCACACTTGTGTACTATACTGCCTAGTGCCTACCCCCAGCACACTGTTAATAACACAGTATTACTACCTCCAGTACAATAAGTACACTTCAAATAATTATTAGTCCTTCGTATATTACATGAAGACACATGTATTTAGATTTACAGAATATGCCTCTACTCGTAATTTTCAAGATACTGTGTGATTTTACAACAACATACTGTGTTTCGTTTCGCATTTAGAAAAGCGTTGTTGTTAAACGGTATCTGCTCTGTATAACATCACAGACAATTCGTTTGTCCTACACTACAGTAGCATTTCGGGGCTGACCCTTACAATATTCAAATGATCTAGAAAATACGAATAATTTATCGTTATAATCGTCGGCGATTCAGATAAACATAGTTGTTCAAAAATCTGCATACTATGTTATTTGTAAAACCAGGGACGTAATATGGGGGTGTCAACCAGCAATTTTTTGGAATATGACTCCCCCCCTTTGTCCAAAAGTTTTTACGCGAGGCAAAATTTTTCGATTTTTGGAGGGTTTGACACTTCGTGTCATTTCTTTTCCACATGTTAATTGGTAAAATTAAAATTGTCCCCCTGTTAATTTTCGGGGGTTTTCCGGAATAAAATTGCCCCCTGTCAATGTTTGACACCTCCTTCTTTGAACGATATTACGCCCCTGTGTAAAACTCCGTTTCTCCGCATAACACAAACGATAAACTGCGTCAGTTACGTAGTTGATGCATGGAAATACAGTATTGTACATCAACGAACATGAGCATGGTAATAAATTTTTAATCTTATTTATCTGTACGGAAGTGAACACGCTGTAATTTCACTTGCTGCCTGCTAGAAGTTACTACGCCCATAGAAACAAAGTTACCGTATTATTTTTCGTCTAACTACTCCGCAAATGAAGTGACACTCCTATTTCTTTTACTCATGAAGTGATACTCACAATTTCCTCAGTTCATTTGTCGGCTGTTTGCAGCAGCAGCATCATGAGTTTTCACCAAAAACAGACACCAAAACGCAGTTTACGTGATCAGCGGCAGGGTAAGATCATATAGGAAGGTGTAATAATTATCATATAAGGTGTATAAGGAGGAGGTCACGTAAGGAGAAACCGTATGGCGAAAGGACAACAGGGAGGGTGAAGCGCCAGAAGCGCGTGCGTGGAAAAGATCTTGTGGCGACAAAGTCTTCCATACGCCGACAGATCGACGGAAAGGAAGGTTTACGGCAAAGCCTCGAATAGTTTTAGTATCGATTGCACTTTAAAATCAAGGTTACTTAACTTAATCGTCATCACTTGTCAGCGTCAGAGTTGCACGTTCCTGTTATTGAAAAATGAGAATTTTGTTTTGGTTGATGCTGCGTGACTGCACGTCCACGGCTAACTACTTTCTGATTAAAACGCTCCGTCGCGACATCTCTCGGCAGTTCGATTGCAGCTTGGGTCGGAGTATGACGACGAAAGTTTATAAGCAGCTAAATGGTCATCTAGAGAATTTAGATGAGGGTCAAAGGTAGATCAAGGAACGTTGTCAAAAACAGAGGTTGTTGAATGCGGCCTTGCAGTGCTTACACTATCAATGACAACGGTTGTTTCTAAGGGTTGGCCCGGAAACGGCAACCTTCGAACGGAAAAGGATGCGAGGTTACTGTATCTGAAGGTCGCATTAGGAGCCATGAACATCACACCATTCCTTCTTGATACCGGCAGGACTGACAACAGCCTGACCAGGACGATGAACGTACTTCGATTGTGGCATACCCCAAAATATGTCCCGTAAACGGCTAGGAAATATGTCATTGTTGCATAAAATGTGAAAAGGAGGTCGTGAAATTACAACTAGAAAAGTTAAATTCAACAAAAATATTCAATAATTATTCAGATATTAACATACAAATAAAAATCCATGCACGCAGCCGAACACCGTGCGGACACCCATGTGAACAGCTGACACCCGTGTCCTCTCGAGCACCCAGCAATAAAATTAATGTAGTTCGTTGTAGAGAAATGCTAGTCTTCTCGCAGCTTTAATAAAATCTGCATAATGCATTATAAAATTTTAGGGCAAACATGATAGTTTTATTTATTTGTACAAGAAAAAGTAATTTACTGAAATCATCGGATGAATTCAGGACGATTCATAGCAACATCGATATTCTTATGCCCGCATTACGATCATCTGTATGAAAGAGGTGATTAGCAAGCGGTTTATGGCAAATCACAAAAGACTTTCTATACAACCACATTTTCAGTGCCTGTACACGAAGAAGAGCCTGTGTCCTGAGCTCCGGCACCGCCGCTCCAAATATAATAGGGTCGATAGTGGTGTGGATAAGTTTCAAAATGCGGCAAACCTGTAGAAACGCTAGACTGTTCAGATGTGGAGCTGCCAGGTAATACAGGTTCATCGGCGTCCAGCAGATCATAATACTAAAGGTCATCAACGACAGTAACGTGATGGGAATCGTGGAGCGCTTTACTGCGGCTCGTTTAGGCTGCGGTAAATGCGGTGTTGTTTGCAAAGTCGTATTACTCGATCGAGTTAAGGTCGGATTGTTGTCACGAGTAGCGATCATTGGCGAAGTCTTGAGTGTGCGTCTCCTAAAAAGGAAATAGGGATACGCTGCTGCCACTGCAATTTCCGGCAGAATGTAGAACAGCCAATTATAAGCCGGCAACCACTGCGACTGTACAGGCGTTGGATTACGGAATGTGCAGTAGACATTGTCCATTTGGCCAAGATACAGATAAGCGTCCACCGTGATCGTCGGAATAGCGTACAGTTGCACGACAACACAACTGCCCAGACAGGCCAATACCGCCATTTTCTTAGTGTGCTGGTTACGGTAAAAGAACGGCCAGGCAATGGCGCACACCCTGTTCAGCGTGATCAGCATGTGTGACAGCGGAATCAACGGGCCGGTAGCGGTTGACACAAACCGAAAGAATGTGCAAAATTGCGGCCAGTGATCAGGCGACAAAAGATACTTTACTCCAAGAAGAAACGGGTTTTGCTGGAAAAAGGCGCTGATTATATTGGAAATAAGCAGATTGATTACGTAGACGCTAAACGGTGTTAAAGTACTTCGGACTTGATAATACAGATACAGAAGCGCCAGGTTGCCGGCAAGAGAAGTTAGGCAAGAAAATGCCGCCATCCATTGGAGGTACGTAAAACTTTGGATGAAGCCTGGGGAGGAATAATTTGACATTGTTGCATTCATTACGTCGCACCTTTTTCCAAAAATTGCTTTAAAAATTACCACGTATCGTTTGTGGAAAATGTTGGCTGGGGCAGGTTTTTTGTTTAGTACCTACGCATTTCGTTTCAGGCACCAAGATGAACATTCTCTGCGTTCACTGTTCGATCGAAACAGCAAAAACAGAATAATTATTCCGACAAATAAACACTCTCACAAATATCGCCGTTCGGTATAAATTGGTGTTTGATTAAAAATTTACTCAAAGTTTCTTACATCCGTGGGAATCTCGTGCTCTGACGGGGGCGATATGCTTTTAGCTTGACTAAACGCAGAATAGAAGGCGTGTTTCACGATTCGATGGTTGCGGTTGCCTTTGGGTTCAGGGCTGATTAACTAATAATACCTCGCAACTGTTTTCTAGGAATTATACCATACCTTTTCCCCAAACCTGCGGTGAACATGCTTCGTTCATTTCAAAAGATAGCGCCCCCGTCTTGATCGATCCATAATCGATCGTCGGCTGCATGCGATGTGGCTACGTTGATGGACAACAGCTTAATGGATTTACATTTGAATGGGCAGAACTGTAATTATTATAAATTAGTGCCTAAGGCGGAAGCAATTTGAGAATCTACTCCGCAGTGTACTCTACGAATTGGAGGAAAACGCTTATAATTAAAATGGTGCGATACTTAGCCGAAGGAGTTATCGTTATCACGTAGTGACTGCCAGGATGATGGACTGTTCAGTCTTAAAGAAGTGGTAGCAGTGCAGAAATTGCCAGAACTTTATATATCTGCGTCTGCTTGGCTTACAAGTAAATTGCATTGTTCACAAATAAGCAGCGATTTGGTAGCTTCATTTCGAGTTCTTCGGCTTTATCGCTTATACTACAACACTCAAGTACAGTACTCGTACACATATACCATGAACAAGCACTGCTCTCTAGTCTCGAGTTCTCAAGCCTCAACTCAGATTACGATGCCAGAACAAGAACAAGCAACCAGATTGCTCTCGGCGCTTAATATCGATGCAGATGTACCGTGTTAAAGTTCGGTTCTGCTTACGTAGAAGTACATCGGCAAGCTCTCTCCTTTGAACTTCATCTGTGTGATGTTACTACAACATACTATAGCAATGTTGCTATTGCATTGCACTTCGAACTGCTGATGATTTGGTAATGAAAGCTTCTATGAAGCTTCCAGCTGTGTAGGTTGGAAAATAATTCAAGGTCACCAAAGCTATGAGGTATGATTATAAAATCAGGAAGACACCGGATCACAGACTACTCTAGACGCTAGACGTTAAGACGCTACATTAGGCGCTTATTATACTTTAGGATTATCCCGTACGTAAGTAAGAACCATAACAAATATCAAGAATCACAGCCACTCCCTGATCCTCTAAGTCTGTCTAGCCTGCTTCCACTACTGGAAAGCTGGCGATAACAGTCAGTCGTCAGAACAGAAAGAAGCTGGTGGACACATCCGCTTCAACACTTCCTGTGCTGTTCCACTCACCGAACAATACGGAGCATGAATAATTGTATGCGAAAAGTGTGTTTAGGCCATTGGAATACAGTTGTTGTAAAGGTACTTCGAGCTAGTGCTGGCAAACCGGTTGAATACTCGAAAGTCGCCTTTATTTGAAATTTGAAAGTCACCCTTAATTTCCATTCTGCCTGTGAGCTTATTTGGAGCTTTCTTTCTTGCTTACGTGCTGGAAA